CCCCAAAACCCCAAAACCCCAAAACCCCAAAACCCCACAAGCTGTTACATCGTTGAAATAAATTTTTAAACATAACCTTGTTTGAATTTTGATAATTTTAATACATAAATCTCTAATAATAGTAGTAACTATATGAGGAGAGCTTAGGTTTTGCTACTAATATCTGAAATTTTCTCAAGGACTTCGAGGTACTTGTGGGGCTGCTTTTTCATAGTCTTGTGAGATTCGATCCTCACAGATCTTCCCTCTACCACAGTCTGTGCATAGTAATAATTTACAAGAGTTTTAATTGCAGGATACTTCAGTACCTTACGCATCTTGGTAAGGGTAAAGTTTTGCAAGCAATCAAGTATGCACTTGTGATCGGAAATACGCTTGTTTTCGAACTCAATCATGTACTTGTTATAATTCAGGAAAGGTGCGATAATTGATACCATTTCGTCATCGTTGCCCATTTCATTCGGTGGAATCTTGGAATTTAAAAACTCCAAGATCTTCCCTTTTAGGAGACGAGACGAAGTGGACTTGAGTTCTTCAATGAAATATCTTCTGATGTCTCTAAAAACTGCCTTATAGTAAATGTTTTTCTTTTCGTATTTCTGCTCTTTAGGGCTGTTTCAAGGATTTTGACAAGGAGTTGGTATCGAAGCTTTAAAATTATCATCACAGCTTTCGATGTTTTTAGAATATGGGACGAAACCAACCATGCCAACGGAACGAATGGGATCGTCCAACCTGACGGAAGCTTTCTCCTCCTCATCATCTGCAGGAGTAAGTTCAGTAATGCCTCAGACTCCAGAGGTGGTATCCCCGCATACATTTTTGGTTATTTTTAAGCTGGGTTCCTCACCTTGGAGAGAGTCCAAGACTTTTCACAAATGATCCATAGGGAATGGAGGTACGATCTTCTGGGAAGAAGTCGTACTAACCATGGAAGAGGCCGTGGCCGATCACTTGCCGAGTGAGTCCACTTGGCAAGTACTTAATTTATGCGTTAAGATTCTTTTAGTTATAGCAATGTCGAGATCTAAGCTAGTATCGAGTGTTGGGAAGGATTGGATAGACATATTAACAATTGTACAAGATAATATTATAACTCCTTTTTCTTATTTTTGGTATGGGGTTTTGGGGTTTTGGGGTTTTGGGGTTTTGGGGTTTTGGGGTTTTGGGGTTTTGGGG